TTTCATGTTTTTAATTTAAAATATACTGAAAAGTAATCTAATCAAAATCACCGTAAATCACACTATGTAAAAACATATAACACATTAAAGTAGCAAAAGAGAAATCCACCTTTTCCTCTTCCCCCAGTCCATTCAGCTGCAATGTTTAGAAGTTACCATGATTGACAGCTTGGCGTCAATACTTTCTAACATTGTTTTTATTCAGTGCTATTTCCTTGTGTGCATGCATACACTCACATGTTGACCCTTCTGTAGCCTCCAAATACAGGATCTCACAAACACTCACACATTGCTTGTCCCATGAGAATACTTTAAGGACATGTTCCAATATCAACACAAAGAGAACTGCTTCCCTTCCATTAAGGGACCGCATGGTACTCCATTGTATATGTTTGATCAATGCTCCATTGACAGTTTATCTTCAGGTTTTTAAATTTTTGTATTAGCCCTGCAATAAGGTTAACTATTTATGAAGACTTTATCACATTTTTTCATATGATAATTTTCTCAAAGTGAGACTGCTAAATTATGGGTTTTGTATAAGATTCTTGAAAACAGGATTCATGCTTTCTCTCCCCTTAATCGATTCACACAGAATTCACATACTAGTATAAGTTATGGTGGTCTCTATATGGTATTAGCAGACTGGTTAATTGAGTGGCTGACTATTCTAAAAATCCAAATGACAATTGTAAACACCCTAAACAAATAAAATCATTGATACCTTTGTCATTTTCATTTTATCCTACATTGACAGATTCTACATCAATATTTCAAGTTTCAGCTAGGATGGTTCTGTTGGTAGCCACCTCCTTAGTAAAAAAAAACAGCATTTTATTCTGTTTGACTCTGCGAGAAACGCTATCACCCTTCCTGTGTCACTGAGTAAGCACCAATGTCCATCGATTTTACTGAATTCTAATATGCCAGTCATTAATTATTTTGGAAAATATATCACTATCAGATGATATAATGAGCAAATACTATTCTGAAGCATCACTGTCACTGTCAACATATAAATGTTTGACAGTGCTCAATATTACATGGCTTCTTCATTTGTGAAATAAGAAAAATATAACATTTCTCATTATAGTATTTCCTGAAATCATTGTTATCAGTAAAGATGGCATTTGCATGTCATTGTACATCTAAAATATCCCTCTTACACTTATTTAAACTGAATTGTTAGAAAAATTCTCCTAGATTCAGATAGTATAAAATGAGTTAAATATATATGAGCTACATATTCCCTATAATTTATGAAGAGTAAAATTCGGAATGCTAACTCCTGCTACATAGGGTTTTCGTGATGATTCAGTCAGAGAATGCCTTCAGTGAATTTTAAATAATACTTACTGTATACAGGCACTCGGCTTCCTCATGGTCACTGGAGAAGGCTTGGAGAATGCTGCATCATTAGCACTTGTTTTAAATCAGAGAATGCTTCCAAAGCAGTAAAATTAAACAACAATTACCAAAATGTTATCTCTGCATTGTGTAAAATCCTTTTTTGAAGTATTTAAAAATTTTGACATAAAAATTATACATATTTATGAGACAATATATATTTTCTCACATGGATGCATTGTATAATGTCCAATCAGGGTAAATATTTTTATCCTTTCAAAAGTGTAATATTTCTTTTATAGAGAAAACATCCAAAACCCTACCTTCTAGATTTTGTTTTATATATAAGGAAATACCAGTACATTGTCTACAGTCATCCTACTGTGCTCCAGAATCCCAGAACATCTTCCTCCTATCTAGGTACTACTAGTACCTGTCACACAACTTTTCCCCCTCCCTCCCCACTTCCTTCCCCAGCCTCAGGTAACCTCCATTATATAGTTGCTTTCTTTGAGATCATCTTTTTTTTTTTTTAGACTGTACCTATCAGTTAGTTCCTGTGACATTTATCTTTGAATGACTGGTTTATCAAAAAGTTTTACTGACATAAAATCTTTGGTATCTCATCCTCCTTAACAACAAAATGTACTTAAGAATATATTTATTTGTGAGCTAATAATAAAAGATGTAAAAAATAGCAAGCAAAATAGATTACAAAGAACACACTTACAGTCTTAAATTGCCATTGGTTTAGCCCAATCCATGAACTATGTGCTATGTAACTTGACTGACAATTGGAAAACCAACTGGTGGGAGCAGCATCCTTGTGGAGTTTTAGAACATAAACACCACCTCCTAGCATGCATAAAAGTCAGCACACGTAGGTTTTATGAACTTCTATTACTTCATAATATTTTTAACACAACATACTACAATAAGCAAGGATATATATACTATTAAACTCTGTAGAGGTAGATAAAAGTCTTAAACCTCTACCAGTACTTCAAACCTGTTCTCTACTAAGGTACAAAGCGTGCACATGTGTATGCGCACATGTATGGGTTTGTGTATATTTATGTGTGTAATGTCCATAATGGAATCCAGCACCACTGAAGTCTCATCTATATTCTTTCTGCTCCAAATGTCAGTGCATCTTCTTACTTCCGAGTTTCCCAGAGAAAAAAAGACTACTTTTTCTGCATAGAGTCTTTCTCCCTGAATCTGTTTTGAGACCATATTCACATCCAATCTTCTTACAAGGCAGGCATTAATTCTTCTCCTTTATTTGATGTGAGGTGCTGACTTTACATGATTATATGTGGCTCTACTACTTTGTCATGAATCTACAGCATTCCTAAATTCCAAGTTTCTTTCACTCTATCTGTGTATCACTTATCCTTACATTTTTGGCACTGGGTGCTTAAGACATATTTTTCTGCATTCCAAGCAAGTTCTGTTTTGAAAGGAAAGCATGGCCTCTTAGGCCTGTTGGAATCCCCATGTACTCAGGCATATGCACTTACTTTGCTTCTGCTTTGAGTCCTGCTACACCCCCATCAAAATCCTGTGCTGCTGGGCAACTGGAAATGTGAACGCTGGGCAAGGGATAACAAGCATGCAAACTGTGCATGTCTCCTCTGCTCACGCACATGTGCCACTGTCTCATCAAACTTCACTTCCAAAACACAAACTCAAAGACAAAGCTACGAAGATTTTTAAGAGCAGCAACTGAGCACTACACCAAGCACAGGACTCTTCTGAGAGTGGGGCACCATGTGACAGCGCAGGTGGTACACCAATAAAATCAGCCTCATCTGTATTGGATTTGGATGAAACCATACCCCTTACTGCTGCACCTTTTCACGCTTCCTCTGAATTCTTATTGGTTTCCCCTAGCAGCATTTCTTTAGTAACTCACATGTGAATGAACCTTTTTTTCAAGGTTTGCTTAGGAATACAACCAAAACCAAAACACTCACATATCTAAGATGCTATTGAGGAACTGGGTCATTTGCTGATATGGACCGCCCTCCTCCCCAACACTGGTGATGAGTGGTGGACAACAGTACCTTGAATGCTGTAGTGCTGCAATTACTAAGATTTTCACTTATGTAATCTGCACACACAGAAATAGAAGGAGTTGCCCTGGCTTGTGCATTATCTTTCTTGATTGAGGGTTATGGGGGCAAATGTGGAACTGATTGCCTTTGGCTGGACATTACGGATGTGTTAAAAAGAGAAAATGACAAGCTCAGTGGAGTTAATTACCAGCTTAATCATATAAACATCACAAATGCTCCATGGCGGCATGTAAAGAGGCCTTCATCTCCCAGAGCTGGAGTCAGCAAACTCCAGTTTCTGAGCCAAATCTGTTCCACTATTGTTTTTGTAAATAAAATTTTATTAAAACATCACCGTACTTATTCATTTACACATAGTCTGTGGCTGCTTTCAAGGCACAACAACAGAGTTGAGTAACTGCAGCAAAGCCTGAAATGTTTATCATCTGGACCCCTAGAGAAGAAATTTTCAAACACGTTTTGTTGAGTCATATGGCAGCCTGAGAAGAAGACAAAGCACAATATCTGATTGGAAAAGTAGGATAATTTCACTGAAAGCTAAATTCATGGCTCACACCAAAATCAGGGCACTGATAGATAAAGACTAAGACCTGGGATGGGAACAAGTGGATGAGGTGTGCTCAAATTCACCCACTGCCAGATTTCCCAGAGACCTGGGTGGCTTGCGTATACTCCCCGTTGTCTACGGTCTCTGCAGAAACATTTACAGAGGCAGGTACCAGGCAGGACAATGCTCACCCTCACCAAAAACTGGTCCTTATCTCCTTTTCCTGCTGCTTTATTAGCTTCTTAAGAGTTCTAATAACAAAATAATAGAAAATAATAGAAACCCAAAGATTTAAATGTAATAGAAATGTGTTCTCTCACTGTTCTGGATCCTAAAGAAGTTCACAATGAATGAATCAGCAAGGACATACTTTCCTCAAAGACTCTAGGGAAGAATCTTGCCTCTTCTAGCTTTGGGAGGTTGCAACAATGCTTGGTGATCCTTGGCTTATCCTTACATATAGCCCTACAGTCTCTGCCCCAACCTCACAGAGCCTTCTGTACCACACATCTATGTACCTGCTTAAATTTCGTATTCCAACAAAGCCACTAATCATTGGGTTATTAAATATCCTAATCTAATAGGACCTCATTTCACTTTCATTATATCTGTAAAAGCCTTATTTCCAAACACAGAGATTATTAGATTCTAATGAAGCCATAAAACCAGTATGTACTGGCATAGCCTGAGAGAGAATACTTGGACTGAATCCTGGGAGGATTAGGCTATAGGGAGTGTGAAGAGGTTGGAACACAGATTGGGTCAGGCAGAATTTTGTTAATATGGGGGCTTCCTGATGACTCAAGATTGAATGCCCTGACAGGGAGCTTAGAGCAAACATTAATGCATACTGGAGATGGCCATTTAGAATCTTGGGGAAACAATGGAACTCCATGTTAAATGAGGAAGATATAGAAATGTCTGTGCAGAAAGTGAATCTGACTTCTTCCTCAATACTAAGTAAGGAAAGGTTCAGGAAGGGAGCAGCCAGAACGGATCTATTACGTAACATCCAATAATCCACAAGTTCCCACATTCTTGGGAAGGCTGTAGGATGCTGTGTACACCAAGCCCAGAAAGTGTGAATATGAGGGAGCCACCAACAATTCAAAAGATCAGTAGTGTAGGCCAAGACTAACTATGAAAGGTGTTGCTAGAGACACAGAACTGGGTCCCTACTACCAGTGGAAGTCACAGGATCCCAGTGTAGCAAAGAACAGATAACTACATCTAACCACCAGAGGCAGGGAGGAATCATCATGATGACAGAAAGATTCAAACAGCTGTTAGGAGGCACTGACTTGCCTCACAGTATTACTACAAGGAAGACAAATGAGGACTTGATACAGACAGACTTGATACTAAAAAGAGAACCAAAGAAGATGAAGCCAACCTTAATGAAAGTTATGGTCAATTGTCCAGTTTCCAGACGTGAGCCAGTTCTCAAACCCAAACCCATTGACGGAAAGAGAAATTATGCCTCCTTGTAGAAGGATCTTGCAATATAACAAGTATGTGCAGTTTTAATTCCATCATTCTTTCACCCAAAGAAATGTGTGGACATTTGCTTTGGTAATCATATATTCAGGAAATAAAATTATCTAGACTATTAAGACTGCTGGATACAGAGTGCAATTGTCACCCATATTCACAGACCCAAAACACCATCATGGCCCCACTGTTACATTAAGTGCATATGGAAGTCATGTAACTAATAAAATCCCACCCCGGCTTATCTCATTGTGGGGCCAGGATATCCTAGGATCTACCTACCTGTCATCATCTCGGTTCCTGAATGCATAATTGGGATAGACAGGTCCCAGAACCCTCACAATTTCCAGAACAGTCACATTGATTCCTTGACAGGTAAAGTAAGAACTGTCACATGAAGGGCAAGAAGAAATCCCTGAAACTTCCCATCACCAGTGTTCCTGGAACCAATGGGTACCATGTCCCAGTTAGGGTGGCAGGTTAATGTCACCCCCCAAAGTCTCAACTGAGCCAATTCACCAATCTAGTCTCTGAACAGCAACAACAAAAACAATCATGATAAGCATACTGGACTTATGGAAACAGTATCCTAGGTAGAGCTGTTGTTTGGGGCTTGGCTTCTTCACTAAAGCAAACCAACTGAACCTCAAGTTCATTGTATGTGGCTTTTGATCTGGGACCACTTATTAAGTGCAATATCCTTCAGAATAGAGCACCTGAGGCAGTTCACGTCCACCCAGGACAGGTGACAGTGTATGTTCACAATCCTGCTCCAGACGTGTGCTGACCTGCCTGCCCTGTCACACTAAATCCAGACACCTAGCTCATCTGAACATTACACAGCACATCATTCTAGAATGATGCAACTGAGTTAATACATCTGATGAGCAAAAGAGTGCCCTGTGGGAGGTAGCCAGTGGCTGGAGCAGTGGTCTGGTTTTAGGAGTCCAGTGTTGTCTCAGTAGCTCTTCCAAGGTAAAGATGGCGTTAATGCACCGTGAACCTCCAACTCTGGATGAATAAAATGATAAAAATAGAGCTCACTGGACTTCCAGTTGTGGAGTTAGCAAGTACTGTGCTCAGGAGTTTGATTCTGATTCATTTATCAAGTGACCTAAAAAGTTTCCCAGTTTCAAATAGATTCCAGAATAAGGTTTTAAAAAAAAAACTCCATAGTTGATTCCAATTACTCCCTTTAGAATCCTGAGAGATTTCCCAATGATAATACTCAGCACAACAAAACATACATTATACAGTTTTCCTTTATCAAGATAAAACCTTCTATTCCCTATTTAAAACCCTCAAATACTCTGCTAACAGCAAGTGCATAATCCACAGTGATCAATGGACCTACCCCATCCCAGCTTCCTGCCATCCCGGGCTTCTGACAGCAACTTATTCTAGAAGGGAGCAGGATCAGTAATCAAAATGGCGTGGTGCTTTGTGACTGGCCTTCCTGTGGAGGAGAATGACAAGAAATGAGAAAAGGAGAAAAATGTCTTCATTACAAATGCTAATGTAAAGAAGCAGAGTTACTTTCCATCTTTTCTTCTCCTTATTTATTTACGCTGCACGCATCTATTAATTTAACACTTCAGCATTAATTTTGTAACATATGTAAATTCTAAAGAGCATCTGATTTTAAAATGAAACGCTTTAAAGAAAAATAGTACAGTGAGATCTACAGGTCGCATAAATCAAAAATGGCTTCAGAAGAGCAATCTACATTCACATAGTTCTTTAATTTCCAATTGGCAAAGTATTTTCACATGTAAAATAAATTCTCGCTTGATATATCTATGAAGGAAAAAATAGTAAATATTTTTATTCCTTTGGAGACTGAAACCACCAAAGTACAGAGATTTTCTGCTCAATTTAATATCTAAATACTTCTCATAAACTTTATAAAAGTGTATTAGGTTAATTTGATATTCCATATGAAATAAGAATTTCTATCCCAATTCATTTGGGTATTTGAAAAGCATTTTATTTGTGTTTATTTCTCAGTGTATGTCAAGCATGGTGCTAGGTCTGGGAATTTAAAGATGAATAAAATAATAAGCTCTGTGCTTAGAGGACAGATACACACATGCACACACACACATGCACACATACACTTACGCATATATAAAAATGCCAGAAATGATATCCACTGGATATAAACACAGCACTTTGAAACCAGGAATAAAAGGTAGTGATTAATTCTGAATGAAACCATATAAGGCACTACAGAAAAAGTAATATATTTTATAGCACTTCAAGGAATGATATGAATCTCATGTGGACTGAACGCAAGTTGGAAAGATGACTTCAAGATGAGAGAAGAGGAAAGAAGCAGAGCGAAGCCCAAAGAAGCATGAAAGCTGAGGGTGTGCCAACGAAGAGACAGAGTCACCAAAGCTAAGGAAGAAATGAGTTGTGCACAGCCGGGAACAACAGTCTAGGTCTGTATTTTGTTAGACATTAATTTTACTATAAACACCAAATATCAGAATGCCCACAGGATAAGCATAACACCAAACACATTTTCACATTTTCAAGGTCTAGAAAATTGTGTGACAAACTTTGCTGTGGGAGGTGGAACCATTTTTTTGAGAAAATTAACTGGATTCTTAAATGTGAACTGTGTTTTATGGCACTGTTTTGCATCACATTCCATGTGCTGCATTGGTTTTATATCTATGCATTTTATTACTTCTGGGATAGGCATTTATGTGAAGAGCATCAATTTTCCTAAAACACTAGCTGTAGCAGTCAACACTTAACGTGGCTCTAACAATCATTTTCATAACCTTTCTTCAGGGAGTTATATTTTAGGAAGAGAAATTTTAGGGAAAACAAAAGCAAAGATGGGTTCAAAAAAGTGAAAATTAGTGAGAAACTGCATGGTGAATATCAATCACATTCTATTAGCAGACCTAAAGTGCAAACAGAACTTACGCATCTACTATCATTTATAGTACACTTTAAGAAAATTATTTGAGAGTATGGAGCTTACTATAAAACTACAAGTTTGACATTCTCATATAATGAAGAAATTTCTACCTCACTACCCATACATGATAGCAACAATATAATACATCTAAAACATTCTGTGTAAGCTGAATAGGTTTTTCAATATTTGATAGCAATACCTGCTTACTGAATATGTAAAATGGTGCATTTTTAATAATTAAATAAAAAGTATCCAATAAAAACTATTAGGGGATATTCTGTGTGCTTATTCTGCCTCAAACACTGTGATACATTCTCCACATATATTCCCTTATACAATTGTTTCAATCACCCATAGGCAGTAAATACTATCCTGAATTTACAGCCGCGGAAACTATCTTAGAAAACACAGAAGAGTAAAACAGAGAAGATAATATACAGATAATGTAGACTACCTGAGAGTAATGTTACTAATATCAAAGACATAGATATTAACCCTAAGTAACCAAACAACCATAAGATAACAAATGTTCATATACATAAATGGGTAGAAGACTTGAATACACTTCACCAAAGAAACATAGTTGGCACTATGTAAAATACACTCAGTATCATAAATCACTATAGGAATGCAGATTAAAAACAATGAAACACTAGTACGCACCTATTAGCACAACTGAGGCTAAAATGTGTACGTTACAATTGAGTGACTGATCACAGCACGAGTGAGCAAGGACATGAATGGACTTCAACTCTCATGCATCACTGATGGGAACGTAAAATGCCACAAGCACTCTCGAAAACACTTGAGAACTTTCCTAAAAAGGTAAACATGGCCTTACTCTATGGTCCAGCCACTCAGCAGGAGACCACATACTTCTTCTACAGGAGTGTCCCCAACAGCTTCAAAGCCACCTACTGTGAACAAATCAAATGCCAATCAACAGATAAACAAAAGGTTACACCCATGCGACCTAATACTACTCAACAACAAGAGGCATTATCACTGCAGGCCATAACACAGATGAATCACAAAATAACTCTAAGTGAGAGAAACCAGACAAAAGGTATACGCACTGCTGATTTTATTCACGTGGAATTTTGCAAAGTGTAACCTAACGAATCTACAGATGGAGGAAAAGCAAGTCAGTAGTTGCCTGGGATGGGATGGGGCAGAGAGGCAGAAGGGAGGGCAAACAAAGCACAGAGGAGGCAGGAACCAGCTCTGATGGGGGATGGACGTCTTCGCTGTCTCCTTCACTGGTCTCACAGACGCCTATGTCAAAAACCATCAAATGGTACACCTTGAGGATGTGTTGTGATGCCAACCATTCCTCCAGGAAGCTATTAAAATGTATACATTTTCACCTGTGTGCCTGTACTACATATTTTTCATTAGTATTTCTTTAATCTGTGAGAATCCCCATCAACATTTTAAGTGTCTAATCTCTGTATAGAGGAAGAATCAGGGACGTCTCTCTTTAGTGAGATCATCTTCATTTTCTCAATGCCCTGTATGCATTTAAGACTAAATGAGGGGCTGTGGCATAGCGGGTAAAGCAGCTGCCTGCAGAATCCACATCCCACAAGGCCGCTTCGAGGCCTGGCTGCTCCACTTCTGGTCCAGCTCTCTGCTATGGCCTGGGAAAGCAGAAGATGGCCCAAGCCCTTGGGCCCCTGCACCCGAGTGGGAGACCTGGAAGAAGCTCCTGGCCCCTGGCTTTGGATCTGTGTAGCTCCAGCCATTGGGGCCAATTGGGGAGTGAACCAGCAGGTGGAAGGCCTCTCTCTCTCTCTGTGTGTGTAACTCTTTCAAATAAATAAATATTTTCTGTCTCTCTCTGCCTCTCCTTCTCTCTGTGTAACTTTCACATAAATAGATAAATCTTTTTTAAAAAAAAAGACTAAATGATATTTTGAACATTATTCAGTTCAAGTTGTCCTTTTTAAAAAATACCGTTTGTACATCTCTGCGTTTACAAGACAGGGAGGCTACATCAAGTTCACTTCCACTCTTGAAGACGGTACCTCTGGTGTGGTCCTAGGCGCCCCTCTCAGAGGCAGGCCTCTGCCCTCACCTGCACTGATGGCGGCGGCTCTGATGGGGGCCCCCGTCTGGACAGGAACAAGTCGGAGCCGGGGGGATGGGGACGGGAATGATTCGGGGCGGGCGGGGTAGGATGTGGACTGAAGGCTCCCTCTCTCTGAGCACCAGGGCCTCCTCCAGGGAACGCACGTCTGTCCCTGGTGAAGTGGGAAACCAGCCGGCCCCGCTGGCGGGCGCCTGGAACCCCGCGCCGCGCCTCTGGAAGCGAAGGGGCGTGTGACGCACCTGCCGTCGCCTAGGGCCGCGTTCTGGCCGCGCTAGGGCCCTGGGCGGCCATGCTGTCCTGGCTCTGGCGCATCTCCAAGCACGCGGGCCCCTCGCTGCTGTCCCTGCGCCCCGCCCGCCGTGCCTGCGCGCTCCCGCCGCGCTGGGCCCCACGGCGGCCCCTGGGTCCCCGGCCGGTGGCCCCCCGCCGCCCGCTGGCCGCAGTGGCCTCGGCCGGGCACTCCTCGCGGGTGCGCCAGAACTTCCACCCGGACTCCGAGGCCGCCGTCAACCGCCAGATCAACCTGGAGCTCTACGCCTCCTACGTGTACTTGTCCATGGCCTACTACTTCTCCCGAGACGACGTGGCCTTGCACAACTTCGCGAGGTACTTCCTCCGCCAGTCCCGCGAGGAGACGGAGCACGCGGAGAAGCTGATGAGGCTGCAGAACCAGCGCGGGGGCCGGATCTGCCTGCAGGCCGTGAGGAAGCCGGAGCGGGACGACTGGGGAGGCGGGCTGCAAGCCATGGAGTGCGCCCTGCGGCTGGAGAAGGAGGTGAACCAGGCCCTGCTGGAGCTGCACTCGCTGGCCTCGGACAGAGGGGACCCGCACCTGTGCGACTTCCTGGAAACCCACTACCTGCATGAGCAGGTGAAGTCCATCAAGGAACTGGGGGACCACGTGCACAACCTCGTCAGGATGGGGGCCCCGGAGGCCGGCCTGGCCGAGTACCTTTTTGATAAACACACCCTTGGAAACGAAACCAAGCACAACTAAACCCACGCTGCCTTCCCCACGGCCCACTGTTCCCGAGACCCAGAGCCAGCTGTCTCCTGCTTTCTCGCCCCCTTACACCTCGCCTCCAACTCTGTATTCTCCGCCTGTTACACTGTCCCCCAGTGAAGAGATTCCTAGAGAAAATCCGTTTAGCACCATGTTAACAAGGGATTTTGGCCAGCATCAAGACACTCATTTTCTCAGCCCAAATGATACTCCAGGATAAGATGGTATGAAAAGGATTGCAGAAACAAAACAAAAGACGTTTGCTGTGGATGCAGACTTTCTCCAGTCGCCAAACAGTATCTCAGACCATGAACTAACACTAAAATTCCATGATTTTCAGTTCAAAAAGTGACTCCTATTTTCAACCTCTCCTTCAAAAATCTAAGATGGGAAAGTGTCGAAGATGAATACACAAACAGCTATAATGATACAGAACTGAAGAATAGAAGTAGCACTGTGAAACTACACACATGCACAATTCTGTGACAACGGATACCTCTTCCCAGTGTGTTCCAAGGAACAGCAATGTCTGGAGATGGTTTGTTTTTTAAAAGGTTTTGTAAGCAATTAAATTTGGGATAAACTACATCAGATAATCAGTGCTGGCCTTGGAAAGTCCCAGTATGTATTAGCATCTTAAGGGCTCTGGGACGTCTTGCATGTGAAGAACAAATGGGGAAAGCTTAACTATGTGTTGAGCTCAGTGTTTCCCAGACGTAGGCAATCTCAGTGTTTGTTTGTTTGGTTTTTTTGTTTTTTTAAGAGTGAAAAACTACAAAGTTTGTATGATTCCAAAATCTGTACACTGTAACAGTGGGCTCTGTAGCCAGCTTTTTAATCTACCGAATGAGTGAAAACATGCATAAGACACCTTTCTGTGGTCTTTAAAATTCATGGGACAGAACATTGGGGTAGAAAATCAACAAAGGATACAGAATGAAGGAGGAATTCTCTGGGAAAATGTTTTCTTTAAAGGGGTAGAGGTGAGGTAAGTGGAGAATACGTGGTGGCCAGCCATTGGATTAGACTAGAGCACTGTTGGTGGTCAGAGAGATGGGCTGGGGGGCATAAGGTGGAGGGGAGAAAATACGGGGGAAAGGGGCAAGGTAATTCAGTGGCCAAAGGCAGTGCCTTCAAGGGTACTTGGCATGAGACTGCCGCGCTAAAACTGAGCAAGTGGAAGCTTTAGCTGGTTGTGCAGAATAAGAATCCAGGACCAACCCGAATGTTTGCATTATTTTGGTTCCCTTAAGACAAAGATACTAAAGTTGGGATTAAATGTGGAAACATCAGAGGAAACAGGAAACATGAAGACTGTTGGAGAAGCAGGGAGAACCTTCCTACCTCAGGGACTTCCAGTCCGCAGGGAAGGGAGAAAGAGTTGTGTATGGCTCTGCGCAGAGCGGCAGTCAGGGAGATTGCCAGCCAGTCACTGTCAGAGGAGCCTTGAGTCTCCGGGAAATGGACCTGCCTAAGCACCGGTCTGGTCAGGACTGGGATGACCCACACAAGAGTAGGTTTAGAACAAACTCAGTAATGAGGCACTGCCGAGCGCAGTGCCTTGGACCCTTGGCAAATTATGATGCTGCCTTGCAGAACCAGAGAAGCACAGTGTGACTGTGCCAGGTTAAAGTAACCATACCTGGAACCACTTTCTGCAGCTGTTGTCAAATGCGATGTTGTCAGGCTGTGATGTGGGCAGAAATTCATGATGTGTTACCTGAAAAATGAGCAGTATTTTAGGATGGCTTCATTACAGTTCTGTAGTCTTACAGGAGAAAATTACACGTGAATTAAGAACATGGGAAGCATTTATGCCAACAAGTAAAGGTGGACAATCTCTTAAATAGATTGTGTTTGATATTTACTTTGTCTTTTCAAAATGAATTTCTTAATCATAGGACAGCCATTATTTTCATACTAAGAAAAGCAAGCCAAAATATAATATGGAGAGAAAAACAATAAAGACTTGAGATATGGGGAGTCCAAGGAAAATAGAAACAAAGAGATGCTGTGGTGAGGTCAGAGGCAGCATCATTCAAATTGTGCAGGCAACTGAATGAAAGGAATTACAGAAACAAGGTATGGGAGGACAAGTGATGTGTCTGGGATCTGAATTACTGGAATAGAGGGCATTTGAGAATAAATAGGGATCTCACCAGGAGGAATGATGGAGGGGGAGCATAATGATTCTCACTTTGATTATGCAAATCCATCTCACAGTCTCTCCTCTGTGAGCCTGTTCTGCTACAAAGGAATCCTATTACATTTCCTTAGGAAATTTCCTCTTCAATTTTTCTAGATAACTGTTTTTCAAACTATACATTGCAAGCCATTAGTGTGTCATGAAATTATTCACTGAGTCACTGTCTACCTTTTGTGAGTAAAATAGAATTGGTTTGAAGTGAAATTAAGTAAGGTATGGATATTATCTATTGAAAATTTTCGCGTGCGTGTGTGTGTGTTCTCACGTCCTTACAGTCTAAATAGTGATATTTCCTATTCTGTGTTGCTGTCAAAAGCATTCAATAGCCACTTCCTAGATGATTATTTTACAGATTCTCCTTTCTCCTCAAATCCCCAAATCTCTCCCTCCCAGTATCAGTTGATAATCCTCTTACTTTACTGAGGAGTAATCACAGGAGAAAGTCATCCTTTTCCATCACTGAATTAATTTTATACTTGCATGGGTGTTCACTTACTAAGCTCTTTGTCCAGCTGCAGTGGTTGAGGCATCAGTATTGCCTACTAAAACCAAATTTCCACATTGCCCTCAAATGCCCACTTAGCCCCACGGTCAAGGACACAGAGGAGTCAACCCTACAGTAATCCTCTGTCTTGTATCAATCTTTTCCTGTCCATTGGTTGGTTCTTAAGAGGATACAAACATCGTGTTATTTTCTCCCCATCTTTAAAAATGTACCATCAAGGCACTTGCACTCCTTCCATGAAATTCAAAGCTGCCAGCCTCTACTGATCTTCCTCTAACAACCAGACATCTTGAAAAAAAGTGCTGTTTTCTCTCTTCTCCACTTTTTACTCAGCTCTTTCTTGCCATCTCCCAGGCTAGCGTGCGCTCACTACCACATCAGCATATTGTTCCCCTTTCTTTCAAGGTCATCAGTGAATGTCATGTTGATCAAGACAAAGGTCATTTCTCAGCTTTCCTGTGACTCAACTGGCTGGCAGTACTGGTCTGGTCTTTCTCCCAGTACATGCATACCACAGTGTATTTTAGTCACCATTTTGAATCTTAGTGTGTCTTAGTGACCTTTAAATATTGGACTGCCCAGAGCCCAGTCTTCACATCTAAACTTCCCTTCATTATCTCTACTTGCAGTCTAAAGGTTTCATGCAGTCCAGGGACTTTTATTTAGATATATATATTTGCTGAAAAGTCACATTTCTATAGCTTACTTAACCACATTTTTGAACTCCAGATTACATTTCTTTTTTTTTATTTTTTTTTAAACTTTTATTTAATGAATATAAATTTCCAAAGTACGACTTATGGATTACAATGGCTTCCCCCCCATACCGTCCTTCCCACCCACAACCCTCCCCTTTCCCACTCCCTCTCCCCTTCCATTCACATCAAGATTCATTTTCGATTATCTTAATATACAGAAGATCAGCTTAGTATACATCAAGTATGGATTTCAACAGTTTGCTCCCACACAGAAACATAAAGTGAAAAATAATAGATGATTTTTTTAATGATGATGAAATCAGAGCAGACCTATTGTCATGTTTAATCCCAGTGAGAGTCAAGTTGGGAATTGATAATTTCTTTTTTTTTTTTTTTACAGAGGATCAGTTTAGTATGCATTAAGTAAGGATTTCAACAGTTTGCACCCCCATAGAAACACAAAGTGAAATATATTGTTTGAGTACTCGTTATAGCATTAAATCTCAATGTACAGCACATTAAGGACAGAGATCCCACATGAGGAGTAAGTGCACAGTGACTCCTGTTGTTGACTTTACAATTACACTCCTGTCTATGGCATCAGTAATCTCCCCTATGCTCCAGTCATGAGTTTCCAAGGCTATGGAAGCCCTCTGAGTTCTCCGACTCTTATCTTGTTTAGACAAGGTCATAGTCAAAGTGGAGGTTCTCTCCTCCCTTCAGAGAAAGGTACCTCCTTCCTTGAAGATCTGTTCTTTCCACTGGGATCTCACTCGCAGAGATCTTTTGCCAGAGTGTCTTGGCTTTCCATGCCCGAAATACTCTCATGAGCCCCTCAGCCAGCTCCGAATGCCCTCAGGGCTGATTCTGAGGCCAGAGTGCTATCCAGGACATCTGCCATTCTATGAGTCTGCTGAGCACCTCACTTCCCATGTTGGATCACTCTCCCCTTTATTTACTCCATCGGTTAGCGTTAGCAGGTACCAGACTTGTCTATGTGCTCCCCTTGACTCCCAGTCCCTCCACCATGACCAACTGTGAACTGAAATTGATCACCTGGAACAGTGAGATGGCATTGGTACATGCCACCTCAATGGGATTGAATTGGAATTCCCTGGTATGCTTCCAACTCCACCACTTGGGGCAAGTCAGCCTGAGCATCTCCCAAATTATACATCTCTTCCCTCTCCCATTCCCACACCCATGTTCAACAGGGATCACATTTCAGTTAATTTTTAACACTTAAGAATAACTGTGCATCAATTACAGAACTAAACCAGTCATATTAAGTAGAACAGATAAAAAAAACTACTAAGAGGGATAATGTATTAAGTTGTTCATTAACAGTCAGGGCTATGCTGATCAAGTCACCGTTTCCCATAGTGTCCACCTCACTCCAACAGGTTTCCCTCTTGGTGTTCAGTCAGTCGTCACCGATCAGGGAGAACATATGGTATTTGTCCCTTTGGGACTGGCTTATTTCACTCATCATGATGTGTTCCAGATTCCTCCATTTTGTTGCAAATGACTGGATTTCGTTGTTTCTTACTGCGGTATAGTATTCTAAAGAGTACATATCCCATAATTTCTTTATCCAGTCTATCGTTGATGGGCATTTAGGTTGGTTCCAGGTCTTAGCTATTGTGAATTGAGCTGCAATAAACATTAGGGTGCAGTCCTCTTTTTTGTTTGCCAATTTAAATTCCTTTGGGTAAATTCCAAGAAGTGGGATGGCTGGGTCGAACGGTAGGGTTATATTCAGGTTTCTGAGGAATCTCCAGACTGACTTCCATAGTGGCTTGACCAGTTTGCATTCCCACCAACAGTGGGTTAGTGTCCCTTTTTCCCCACATTCTCGCCAGCATCTGTTGTTGGTAGATTTCTGCATGTGAGCCATTCTAACTGGGGTGAGGTGAAATCTCATTGTGGTTTTGATTTGCATTTCCCTGATTGCTAGTGACCTTGAACATTTTTTCATGTGCCTGTTGGCCATTTGGATTTCCTCTTTTGAAAAATGTCTGTTGAGGTCCTTGGCCCATCTCTTAATTGTGTTGTTTGTTTTGTTTTTGTGGAGTTTCTTGATCTCTTTGTAGATTCTGGTTATTAACCCTTTATCTGTTGCATAGTTTGCAAATATTTTTTCCCATTCTGTCGGTTGTCTCTTCACTCTCCTGACTGTTTCTTTTGCAGTACAGAAACTTCTCAATTTGATGCAATCCCAATAGTTGATTTTGGCTTTGACTGCCTGTGCCTCCCGGGTCTTTTCCAGAAACTCTTTGCCTGTGCCAATATCTTGAAGGGTTTCTCCAATGTTCTCTAGTAACTTGATGGTGTCAGGTCGTAGATTTAGGTCTTTAATCCATGTTGAGTGGATTTTTGTGTAAGGTGTAAGGTAGGGGTCTTGCTTCATGATTCTGCACGTGGAAATCCAATTTTCCCAGCACCATTTATTGAATAGACTGTCCTTGCTCCAGGAATTAGTTTTAGATCCTTGATCAAATATAAGTTTTTTCAAAAAAAACTGATATTTCCCCTGACATTGCATATTAATGCCTTCAAAACCATATGACTACCTGTTCACCCAAGATGTTCTCTCTGTAAGGGAAACTCCATTCTACCAGTTTCTATGGGTCAGTTCTTGACTACTGTCATCCATCCAGTAGCCTAGTCCCTTAGCAGATTCTCTCAAGACCTCCCTCAAAGCAGGTCCTGAGTCTTAACCACTGCTTATAACCTTTATCATTGCCAATTATGCTATAAACTCTCACTTCTGCCTGAATTATTACATTTTATGTCACATTTATAACAGGTCTATCTGCTTCTACACTTGAGCACATGCCATTATTTCTCCACAAAGCAGCCAATGTGTTTCTTTGTGAGTATAAATCAGATCTTTTGACTTCTTTAAAACTCCGTGATGTTTAATGACTTCGCTTCTAATTTGGAGGGAAAGTCAAGGTCATAGGCATTACCACAACATTCTCTGCCCTGATACCTCTTTCACTTGGAATATTTTTATTTGGGGCCAGGGGAGACAAGAGACAGAGACAGCTCCCTTCTGCTGCTTCTGGAGTACAAGATAAAGAACCCAGTATGATCCAGAAGGGTATCTATTCCCAAGCCAGCTTGCACACAGAGGGAAGAAGGGACTTAAACTAAACTGAGAAGAGCGCACACTGCTTACATTGGCTGAACTCACACCTCTGAGAAAAGAAGCAAATAAAATCATCCATTAAGGTATGGCTCTCTGTATATAGAGTTATTTGATTCAACTTTAAATATAAGATACCATTATTAAATAAGTAAATATA